TTTTTTTTTTTTTTTTTTTTCTATTTCAAAATGCTTTATTTTCACTTGGTCCCAAGATTTGGGAGGGGCTCCGGAACGGTTACAAAGCTGCCTAGAGGTTCAGGTGAAGGTCCTGAGGCAGGGGAGGGAGCCCCTTGGAAGGTGACATCTCCTAGTCATTCATGCTTGAGAGTGAGCCTCTTGAAGAGGTACTCGCCCAGAGATGGCGAGGGCACACCAGTCTGTGCTGGCTTCGGCCCAGCCACCCTGCGGAGGAAGCTCATCTTCTTGATGAGCTTCACCTCCTCACCCAGGAAGTGGTTTTCCAGGAAGTCACCGAGGTGAGGATCTGTGCGAGCAGAAGCCAGGGCATGAAGATCCAAGAGGGCCTGGTTCAGGTTCTTCTCCAGGGTCAAGGCAGCTTCCATGGCCTCCTGGGATTTACCCCACTTACCTTGAGATGGCTTCTGCACGTCCTGGAATAGTGCGCAGAGGCCTCCGTGTTCGTTCTGCATCTTCAGCAGCCGCTGAGCGCCCTTGAGCTTCTCCTCTGCCAATTCGAGGAAGAAGTGGCCTATAGCCTCCAGAGCCACGTCATCCAGGTCAAAATTGTAGCCCAAAGTGAGGTAGGTGTAGGAAGCCCGCAGGTGCAAGTTGACCAGGAGGTTCCCTGCAGCTTCCACTTTGGTGGAATAATTCTGACGGAACTGGGAGCTCATGGCTGATACGCAGTATGGAGCTAACCACGAAGAGAAGGTGCTGGTTGGCCCTAGGAGCCGCAGGCTTCGAGGAGATGGTCCCAGAGGCTGCGACTGGGAGACACTTAGAGGTGGCTGGAAGCTAACAAAGGGAGTCCCCGGGTCTGCTCCGTCCAAACACTGTTGAAGCAAGACCCAGACACGGGATCTCCGGGTGCTGCCCTTTGATTCACTTTCAAAAACCAATCTGCCAAATGCCCAAGTCTGCAAGTTACACTGTAGGACTGGGCAAGCAGCTCTGCAGCAGAGTGCCTCCCTAGTGTGCCTGAGGCCCTGGGTGTGCCCCCCAGTAATGTAAACATAGGAAACCAACATAACACTAGAGTTGCTTTCTTCGTGCGGAAAAAAAATGAGGACGGTCTGCATCAAGGGTTAAAATGTCGTAAAGTTAGTGATCTTAGGGCTTTATCAAGGACTCCCCGTCCCCCCAAATGCTGTATGTAGCCTAGGCTGGCCTCAGTGGCCGCCAGTTCCTTACCCTCTTGCCCCAGCCTCTTGAGTTGCTGCGTTAGAGGCATGTCCAGTTGTCTGCCTTTCAGCACAGACACTCTTGTCAATGAAACAGTTCTAACTGCACTTACTGATCAGGTGAGGCAGAATACACCCATTAGAAGTATAATTTGACGCCATTGTCTTGATTCACACCAATCACAGCTGTCGTTGATGTTGCTTTTGTATAATCTGTGCAAATATTAACTGTGCAAAAAGTTAATAAACTCCAGTTTTTATTATGAGAAGCATTTGACTTTACAGATTCCCTGAAATGCCTTTTACAGCAATTTTACTGATTTTCCTGAGTGACTGATAGTGGATTAAATAATAGTTATTTGGGTATTTGACAGACATTTTCTCAAAAATGAGTGAAATGAGCCATCACTTCAGGAGAGCTCCTAAATTACTGCATCAGAGGGCTCCTGTGGCTGCCGCATTGAGAGTAGACAGGCGAAGTGAAAGGGAACAGATTGTAAGTGTTCATGCAATTAAAGTGTCAACACTAATGCATCACCCCACCCCCGCTCACCTCAGAGAGTAAAAGTTAAGCTGTAAATCACGGTTTCATAAAACCCGACCCAGGAATACAAATTGTTGTTCCAGGGAACTCTTGGTGGAGGCTGCAGGAACAGACTGAGAGAGATGGCAGCTTGCACTGGAGAGGAAGAAGAAAGGCCTAGACCTATAGGATGAAATAACATATGTGCTAACCCAGTGGTTCTCAACCTGTGGGTCACGGCCCCTCTGGAGATCAAATGTCCCTTACACTGGGGTCGCCTATGACCATCAGGAAACACAGATAATTTATATTACCATTAATAACAGTAACAAAATCACAGTTATGAAGTATCAACAAAGATAATAAGGCACTGTATTAAAGGGTCGCAGCATTAGGAAGGTTGAGAACCACTCTGTTAAACTAAGGAGTGCATACATCAGAACTGCAGAATTTGAGGAGGGACTTAGTACTTTTGAGAAAGGCTTCCATAAGCTAGTTAGGGTTTGAATTGTAAAAATGACATGAAGGCAAAGACTTTAGTCTGTTTTCTTAACTGATTTGTTTCAAGCATCTAGAACAGTGTCTGGCATATCCCAAGGTGTTCAGTAAATGCTTCCTGTTCAATATGGAAAGAAAGGACTTACGATAATAAGATTATAATAGATAATCTATTGTGATTCCTGTGCTTCAAGCATTCTTCACTAAGACAGGCCATACTGAAGAAACAGATCATGGAATGCATCTTACCATCACAACAGTCCTAGCTAACACTGAGCACTTCATGGTTTAGTTTATACAATCTTTATTTAACACATGGAAGAGACTCGGGAAAATTAATTTACCCAGAGTTATATCATAGCTAAGCCTGGATATTATTATTAATTATCTGAACATTTATTATTACTATTATTATTATTTTAGCTAATCCTGGATGATGATTATTATTAGCTGTGCTGGTTAACTTTTTGTCAACTTGATACAAACTAATGTCATCTAGAAAGAGGAAACCTTGACTGAGAAAATGCCTCCAGGCTGGAGAGATGGCCCAATGGTTAAGAGCACTGACTGCTCTTCCAGAGGACCTGGATTCAATTCCCACCAACCACATGGCAGCTCACAACTGTCTGTAACTCCAGTTCCAGGGGACCCAACATCCATGGCAAAACACCAATGTACATAAAGAATAAATAAATTTTAAGGGGGGCTGGAGAGATGGCTCAGAAGTTAAGAGCACTGGCTGCTCCTCCAGAGGTCCTGAGTTCAATTCCCAGCAACCACATGGTGGCTCACAACTATCTGTAATGAGATCTGGTGCCCTCTTCTGGCCTGTAGGGATACATGCAGACAGAACACTGTATACATAATAAATAAATTTTTAATAAAAAAAGAAATGAAATGAAAATGCCTCCATCAGACTGGTCTGTAGGCAAATCTGTGGGGCATTTTCTTGACTAATGATTGATAGAGGAGGACTCACCCACTGTGGGTGGTGCCACCCTGGGGAGGTGGTCCTGGAAGATATAAATAAGGTGGTTGAGGGTTGGAGAGATGGTTTAGTGATTAAGAGCACTAGCTGCTCTTCCAGAGGACCTGGGTTTGATTCCCAGCATGTCTAAGACAACGTACAACCTCCTGTAACTCCAGAGGATCTGATGCCCTCTACTGGCTGCCCTGGGCACCTGGCATACATTTGGTATACAAACATGCACGAAAGCAAAACACACATACACATAATAAATACATAATATTTTTGCTGTCATTTTAAAATTTAATAAAATAGATAATTTCATTACATAGAGTGTCAAATCTATCCACTCATTGTTAAAGTTTTAGAAATATGTTCCATAAAAGCTTGGTATTTGATTGGGAATTAATCAACTATAACATTTCTGCAGGTACAGAGTTCCCACCTTTACCTCCATTCTTATTTTGAAAAATACAGAAAAGTGCAAAAAATAAGATATGCTATCTGGGCTGGAGAGATGGCTCAGAGGTTAAGAGCACTGACTGTTCTTTCCAAAGGTCCTGAGTTCAATTCCCAGCAACCACATGGTGGTTCACAACCATTTGTAATGAGATCTGGTGCCCTCTTCTGGCCCGCAGGCACACATGCTGCATACATAATAACTAACTAACTAACTAAACAAGCAAGCAAGCAAGTAAATAAATAAATAAATAAATCTTAAAAAAAAAAAAAGATATGCAGCCGGGCGGTGGTGGCACATGCCTTTAATCCCAGCACTCAGGAGGCAGAGGCAGGTGGATCTCTGTGAGTTCGAGGCCAGCCTTGGCTACCAAGTGAGTTCCAGGAAAAGGCACAAAGCTACACAGAGAAACCCTGTCTCGAAAAACAAAAAAAACAAAAAAACAAAACAAAACAAAACAAAACAAAAAAGATATGCTATCCATGTAACACAACTGAAAGCCAGCCAGTATCTTCACATATTTACTTGAAGTCTTTAAGAGAATGAATGCTTATATAAAATGAACACCAGAGAATTCATACCAAAGGGGAAGAAGTTTGTATGATTAGAAGCCTGCACTCTGTGGTGATATTGTGTCCCCCAATATATTGTGCACCCTAATAAGCTTATCTGGGGTCAGAGAACAGAACAGCCACTAGACAGACATAGAGGCCAGAAAATGGTGGCACTGACACCTTTAATCCTAGCATTCCAGAGGCAGAGATCCATCCAGATCTCTGTGAGTTCAAGGCCACACTGGAAACTGCCAGGCATGGTGACACACACTTTTAATTCCAGGAAGTGATGGCAGGAAGCAGAAAGGTATATAAGGCATGAGGACCAGGAACTAGAGGCTTTTAGCAGCAGTTCAGCTGAGATCCATTTGGATGAGGACACAGGAGGCTTCCAGTTTGAGGAAACAAGATTGACTGAGGAGTTGGCGAGGTGAGGTTGGCTGTAGCTTGCTCTTTTTCTGTGATCTTTCAGCATTCACGCCAATACCTGGTTCCAGGTTTGTTTTTATTAATAAGATCTTTTAAGATTCGTGTTACAGCACTCGCTGAACATAACAGGAAATGAAAGCAGTGCTGGAACTTTGAACACTGTTATCTACAACTCAGAGGGGAAAACAGGCCTGATACCGCTATCAGCCTAGACCTGAAATCTTCACCAGTCTAATAAGACAGCTGTATAGAAGAAACAAAATCAGTTATATGATCATACAGTAATGTGTAACGTAATTTCAAGAGGACAGAAATGATAGAATGATAACTGCACATTTACCAGGATTTAGAATAGTGCTTCGGATGAACACGAAGACTAACTATGCTTCGGATGATGAACACCAAGACTATGTTTGGAAGCAAATTGTTCTCTGAGGAGCAAAGCTACACGCCAGAAATGATAAGCAACAGTAAATGTAAAATATATGGAAATTGAAAGCAAAAAACTAAAAACGACAACAACAAAAATCCAAAAACAAAAACAAAAAAGAAAAAAGAAAGATAAAGGTAGCTGAGTGTAAGCCTGTGGAGAAAGCCAGTTACAACATTACCATGCTCCACTACTCTCTCCAGGTTCCTGACTTGAACTCCTGTGTTCACTTTCCTCCACGGTGGATGCTAAGCTGTCTGGTGAAATTCATCCTTCCCTGTAGTTAGAGGTTTTTTTTTTTTGGTCTAGCCCACGGTTAGAACAAATTTTTTTTTTATCTGTCAGTTTCATAGTTGTTTAGACTCAATCGAGTAAACATATAGGGATTTATATTGTTTATCAACTGTATGGCCATGGCAGGCTTTTTGTTGTTTATTTTTTTTATCTTAAATTAACCCATTTTTATTAATCTATAAGTTGTCACGTGGTTCCTGGCTTATCGGTATCTTAACGTGTTGTTTGTTATGGCGGCGGCTGGTAGTGTCTCTCTGACTTAGCCTTTTATTTTTACAATTTTTTTTGTTTGTCCCACTTATATGTTTTGTCTGGCTGCTGGCCAATCAGTGTTTTATTTATTAACCAATCAGAGTAACATATTTG